GATGATCACTACTTTTACCATGCGATTCAAGCTCTTTGCGCCATCTTTGTTCTTTCTCGTCCCCAAAACAACCCTATGATGCTTTGCGAGGAAAGTTATTGCGAAGCATTCTGGGGTGTATCTGCTTGTCTAGTCACCATGGATGCACACTACTTTTAAAAGTGCATTATGGGAAATTTTGAGTCCGCTACTCTTTCATCCACTAGACATTCGGACACAGCCACATTTGTGCAAATGAGAAATGCTGACTTCAGGCAAAACAATACAGCTTTTGTCCACAAGTGGGGAGCCAAAATTGACCAAAACTGAAGGTTCATTAGAAGTGCTTTAATATAGCAAAATGCGTAATATCCTTCTGTGCGATTTATCTCAACAACAGATATTTTTCCTTTTTTAATTGTGTTGCTGAAAGAAATAACTTTTTCTATTGTAATCTAACAAACTTTGATAGCGATTATAAATGTTAATGTAGTGAAGCAAGCTGTAATGACTTCAGCACAGGTTAGATCTTGTGTTTCTCAGCACCTCTTTTTAGGGCCGTAAATGAAATCATGCTGCTCTAATCAGCAAACCTCACTCTGCCAACGTCCTCAGAACAAAATGGATGTTCTGGAAGTGTGAGTAGCAGCACGCCTGTTTGCTTGTGCACACAATGACAGGGGATGGATCAGGTTTGTGTATTCAGAGCACCAATCACCATGTCTGTGTTTATGATTTTAATAACCGGCAGCGTGATTCTTCCTTTTTTCCATTTCCTGTTCCTCCTTGTCATCCTGTTCACATCAGGTGAAGAGGTCAAGCCGCTCACCGTTACCGGCAGTAAATGTCAGAGTGAGGGTAACGGCTGATGACAGGGTTACAAAAAAGTCAGGAGCAAAAGGACCCATGGGTCTGTGGCCACTCAGGCGTAGCTGTAAATCAGAAATGGAGAGCGATGCTGGTGGATGCTGTGTCCTACTGGGCAGTGAATGGAAACAATGAATTTTTGGTCATGAATATGGCTTATTTTTAACATAACAACAAATTTTTTTGTGTTTGCGTACATGTAAATCAGTAAAGATGGAACCTGCAGTAATCTGTTAATATACTGAGGTAAATGTATATTTTCTGTTGCTCTTATACAAAAACTGCCCTGAATTATGTACACTTTTGTTAAATAAGAATATTTTTTCATTAATTTGAGCAAGTTAATTAAGTTATCTGCCAATAGGATGAGTATTTATACCCTTAAAATGTAATAAGTAGATTAATATTTATGTAATCAGTTGAGAAGAAAATATATTTCAAGAAAACTTGAATTATTATTATGCAGTGGCTATAACTATAAAAAAGCCCTGGGCATTTAATAAAAAAAATAAATAAAATAAAATAAAAGGTTACACCATAGCAGTTGGTGGCTCCATTCATTTCATTGTCCACAGGTTTGGTTTCTATCCCTCTGAAGTTCAATCAAATCCAGCAGGGCATCAGAAAATGGGACTGGATGCTACCTGAGCAAAAGGTCCAGTCAGCCTTCATTTGTCCTTAAAGATCATCAACATTCTAATAATCCCGGTGGATTAAAAATAGGACTGAACATTGTATCTGTTTGGATGTAGATCAGTAAATCCTTTCAGCAGTATGATTTATGTTAATATTGATTCCTTGTGCTTTGTCATGCTAAAAGAGAAAAAAAATATAGATATGGTGCATGCATTGCTGTTCAGAGTCATTGCAAAGATGGAAGGAGCTAAATGCAAAGTGATATGTTAGGAAAACCAGTTATAGGCTCCAACAGACTTGGGACTGAGAGCTTCTCATTCTGGGTTAATATCAGCCCAAATTATACAGGAGCTACAATGGAAGGATTTACATGTATTTGTGAGAATGGTCTAGTCAAAACTGAGGCTCAAGATAAAGAGTGGTAGCAAATGTTTACAATGCTCTCCATCCAAAACGTTGCAAAGAGTAAAAAGGAAATATATGGTTATTTTTCCAGACATAACCAGACAAGCTTGCAGGATAACGTGAATCACCAAAGTTTATAAAACACAATTGAATACCTTTTTGCTCATTTTTGAATATTTCTGAAGTGTTGATCATCTAAGATCACATTAAAATTTACTGAGGTCTGTTTTTGCTAGCATTAAGACAAAATGTGAACAGGTTTAAATTAATGTATATAACAAAATGAGTATTCCTTTTCAGTGAGCCATTGATGGCTGGGCTTTCTGTGAGGGCATTAACTCTGTAAAGGAATTAAAACATTTGGTTGGGCTGTCCAGAATGTAAATCAGAGGGCGGCTCTCAGGAGGAATTTCTCTCCTCTGAGTGGAGACGTTTCATGGATGACGGAGCAGCCTTCTGGTTAAAGGCGTACAGGTCAACAGTTTGATCCGTAGATTGATGTCTCTGTGAAGCCATTTCACTTTGCCAGCGTTACTCTACCAGATTAGCAGCTCGGAGTACAATAGTATATATTCTTTTTATGATACATTGGTTCGGATTTAGCAACTATTGATCTCACCAAGACAATATTTATCAGGTGGAAACATGGTGGACGTGTAGTTTGTTCTTTACTTCTCTCTCTCTCTCAGTCTCTTCAGTGTGGAGGGCAGCCAAGATGCAAAATGAGCAGCTTTTGATTGGGATCTAAAGCAAAAGGTCACTGCAGCCTGTTAAAACTTAATTGCCTGTATTTGAGTTATGTAACGACAGGGGCGGGCGATGACGCTGCTTCTTTCTTCAGTTCCTCTGAAATCTGGCTACATTCAGGCATCCAGGCCCACTAAGGTTTATGTAACCAGCGTCGCTGATATGAAGCAGGGGGCCTGAGAGAGCAGGGAGAACCGGAACATGCATGTTGCATGGAAACAGTGGTCTCCAGCTCAGCTTCATTTACATAAACTGTCTTGTGAATGAAAACCCCGGGCGCTGTGCGACGCTTTCATCATTATGATGCAGCTGTGGGTCTGAGTCTGTCCACACAGATGTATGCAGATGGGCTCTGTTCACTGCACCAGCCAAAGTCACGTGAGACATTTT